GCACAGCCTTCGGGGATGGCAGCCATTCCCCCCAGTTTGGTATCCTGTTCCTTTTCCTGTTCCTTTCCAGAGGATAACATTTTCATCAACAACTTGGCAACCATCAGGAGCAGCAGCAGCAGTGAATGCCTGACCAAAGCCCTGGGAATCAGCAGTGAGGGTTCCTTGGAAAGCAATGAGGTGAGGTTTTTGCTTTTTCTTTCTCTGCCTCAAGCTTGGCCAGTGCTGTCACCCTTACCCAGCCTGCTATGACCCTACCCCTGCCGGAGGCTGGGTAAGGTGGTGTTACAGGGACAAGAAAACCAGCTTCCATCCTTGAAGACTGGCTTGTTTCTCTGGCTGGTAACCAATTCTCAGAGCCCATTCACGCTAGAGTAGGCTGTTGATGGCTAGTCAGTAATTTTTAAGTTCTTTACAGCTAATGAACTCTTTGCAGACTAGGTGGTGGTCAAGAAAGGATATGACTTCCTAGAGCTGGGTCAGTCCCTGAGCTTGGCAAGATAGCAGGCAGTACAGTAAGATCTGGAGCAGCACAGCAGTGCTGCATTGGCATTTCTGGAGTACAGAAACGGGAGCAGGTTGGGGATTGCTCCATGGTTCAACACCAGCTCTGGGGCTGGTGACCAGAAGGGTATAGCTGAACTTGAGCACAAGTCCTCTGTATCGAGGAGCTTCTCACACATAGAATCTCAGTGCATTGTAGTGGTTCAGGGAGGATTAAGCATTGCTCTTTGCTCTGGTGCGTTGCTTCCAAAGCTAAGATTGCAGGAGCCTTATACCATCCCGTGGTACCAAGCTGCCGTCTTGGGAGGGACTTGACTCAGCCTTTCTTAATAAGGACTTTGTTGGTCTTTGTGTTTGTGGACCACTGCTTGGATTTAGAGCTTGGGACTTGAAGGAGTCTGCACATGTTACCTGTAGTGATCCTGACATCTTTGCACAATTGTCCTTAGCCTTTGTGTTTTGTGGGTTTTTTTTCCTTTCTCCAGGATTCTGACCATGCAAACAGTCCTCCTAGTCGAAAACAAGCCAAGAGCTTTAAGATGAAGATCCGCTACAGCAACAGTGACAGCCAGTGGACCCACTGCCCAGGGAAAGCTGGGGGCTCTAGCCAGCACCTAATCCTTCCTGATGCCCCTGCCTATACAGGGCCCCAGGTAACTGTGCACAGAAGGTTGTCTTGGAAGTAATGTGGACTGTTTCACTGTATCAAGTGTGGGGAGGCTTTTCCAAGGCTGCCTAAGCTACAGTCTTGGTACTCTCAGATAAAAGAGGAGCTGTGTTTGATTCCAGACCTCTGCCTCAAACTTAAACGCTTGTGAAACAGCAAGTTCTTGTACAAAGAACTGTCTGCTTAGGTGTTACTGTTGCTTGGAGGAATGTTGGAGACAAAACATGGCTGTGGTGTGGGCGAGGATAGATGCTGGTGTCTGTCTTCTCTGTGTTTGTCACAAGAGGCCAGTCGTGTTGTGTGACAGTGGAGAAGGGCAGGGAACTGGGGAAGTCATGGTTGCTGCTAGAACCCAGGACAGTGTAACAGCAACACGAGGAAGCACCTCTTTGTGGTTAAGAGGAATGGTAATGCTTTTGTTTGTGAGGGTATAAATGAGTTTGGTTTGGATGGGCTGCAGGACCTGGCAACATTCCTGGAACAGATTGGGTGTCTGAAGTACCTGCAAGTGTTTGAGGAGCAAGACGTTGACCTCCGGATCTTCCTGACCCTCACAGAGAGTGACCTGAAGGAAATAGGCATCACGTGAGTGTCTTGAACGTAGTTCTCATCTTTCCCCTTACAAACCACGTGACCTGCTCAGGATGGTTTAGCTAGTGAGTACTTTTCTGTTCTGGCCGTCTCCCACACAATTTTGATATCCCCTAGTTCTTGGCTGTAACCGACTCCTGGTTTTGGAGGTGCCTTGGAGGAACCAGGAGGCTGCAGAGGTCTAGGGCCCAGGGGCAGATGGTGCAGTGTTTGGTCCCTGACAGTTTGCCATTCTCCCGACAGGCTCTTCGGACCAAAGAGGAAGATGACTTCTGCCATCGCCCGATGGCACAGCAACGCTCGGCCGCCCAGTGATGCCCTGGAGCTGGCCTACGCGGATCGGCTGGAGGCTGAGATGCAGGAATTGGCCATTCAGCTGCACAAGGTAGGAAGTCTGCCATGAGCTGCTCACACCACAACAAGTGATAGGTAGCCTATCTTTATGTTGTGCCTCTAATGGCCCGGGGTAAAGGAAAAAATGTAAGTTTCAGTGACACACTTGGTGTCAGGTAGATCAGGTAAGACCACAAGTGCAGCTTACCCACTCCTCATCCTCTGTGCTCCATGCCTGTGAATCCTTTGTGTCTCTTTCCCATCCACCTGAGACAAAAAGGGTGAGTGGGAGGAATTGAATATCCACTCTTTTTCAAGAGTGTCATTTGTAAGGTGAAGCGGTGCACGAACAGACTTGTGTTGATTTGCCCTACTGAGTATCTCTGCAAATGGAGAGAAGGGGGAGTTGTAACTGTGGGGCTGGCCTTGGTGTGGAGAGAAACTGTTCAGTGTACAAGCCTTATCCAGCTTCCTTTCCCACTGGGTTGAGCACACTTCTGCAGGAACCCTCTGGCTGCCTGTCTCGTCCCACTCACTGGGTGATGAGGGAGGTGAATCTACCCCAAAAAGCAGGGAACGATAGCAAAGGGTCACTGTCCTGTCTCCACATGAATCAGTCTGTCAGTCTCCTCCTTTCCCCCTAGGCAACACTTTCCAGTTGTTTAAGACAAAACAGGCCAAGTCCCTTACCAGTCTTTGCCATTGCCTGAGCCATTGAATAGCAGGGGCTCTGGGAGGTGTCAGCAGGCAGGTAGGAGTGAGGTGCAGTACTCCCTGCCTAACCCCCATTCTGCTTGGCTGCAGAGGTGCGAGGAGGTGGAGGTGATGAAGGGCCAGGTGTGCCAGGAGCAGAAGCTGCGTGCGGTGGCTGAGAGCTGTTTGATGGAGCGGGATGAGGCCTGGAATGCCATCCAGTGCCAGCTCAGAGAGGTGCAGGCCATCACCAAGGATGCTGGAGTCCTGCTGGATCAGATCAAGTAAGTCATTCCCAGGAAACGGCATTATGACTACTTGGAAAGGGGATTTGGGCTGTACAGTGGTCAGAGGTTATTGGCAGCGTTACAGGTGATGCTTTACGGTAAGACAAGAGAGCTCACTAGGCTTCTGAGCCCACTTTGGGGCCTGCCTGACCTTCTCCAGTGGAAGCCCACAGCCATGTGAGCAGATGAGAAGCCTTAATTGGATGCATGAGCCTGAGGTACCAGAGGTGCTGGGTGCTCCTGCTTCACCTGGGAGGAACCAAAAGGCTAAGTGCTTGTGCTTACAGAGGCACAGTCACCAGGGTATAACGTGGTGATTGGGTGAATGCAGGGAAGAGTTTCTAACTTCCAAGCCATATCAGAGGACTTGCAATGTCTTGCCCTGGCTAGGGAAGAATTCTTTTCTTGCAACTCTGGCACCTAGCAGAAAAACCTGCCCTGTTCATTCACACCACTGCCACAGAATCACGATGGTTGGAGAAGACCTGTAAGATCATCCAGTCCAACCATCAACCCAACACTGCCATACCCACTAGACCATGTCCACAAGCGCCACGTCCGCACGC